GTGATGGTGGTGCTGGTTCTGGTTCTGGTTCTGGTTCTGGTTCTGGTGCTGGTGCTGGTGCTGGTGCTGGTGCTGGTGATGGTGGTGGTGGTGCTGCTGGTGGTGGTGGTGGTGGTGGTGCCGGTGGTGGTGGTGGTGGTGGTGGTGGTGGTGGTGGTGGTGGTGGTGCGATACTCTACTAAAATCTGCAAAATCATACTTTAATTCACTATAGCATACTATACTATACTCTACTATACTATACTGTACTATACTATATTGTACTATACTATACTATACTATACCATGCCATATACTACAATATACTACAATATTGTACACTGTAGCAGAGTACAGCATAATATACGATAATATGCTACAGTATAACATTCTACAAGGATCTTGCAGTTACAAGCTTCTCCGAAGTCAACTCTGGAAGTTAGGGATGCGGCCTCCACAGCCATCGATGGCATTGACAATGAGGTCATGGCCTTTCACGCCTTGCAGGGTCTCTCAAAATGCTGTCCCGCGACTGTTGAAGCGTCAGTTCTGTCTGCTACAGCGCCGGTTACCACAAGCCAGCCGCAATTCACAGCAAGACACATGGCCGCCGAAACCTGAACTGCATGCTGATGTTTGGGGGGTGTAGGCCACGTCACGGCCACGACTCCAATACTGATGCTCTCACACAGTACCAAAGATACTGATACTAATAATAGTGGTCGGCCACAGTCGACACGGGCGCAGGAAGGTCGTCGAAGTGTCGATCGAAATTGCTCGAAGTTTTCCCAGCGTCCTTTCTACTCCGTTTCACTGCCATATGCAGGTGTGCACAATCAGTATTCGATTTCATATGTTAGCATATCGCTGGTACACGTGCGCGCATGTGTGTTTGTACATGTTGTAAGCGGCATAATCCTCTCTGGGTCTCCCGCTCCAGACAGGTTTCTTGAGATTCTCCAGATCCCAGATGGCCAGGCCACCAGCATAGTCGCCGGTCGCTAGGTGGCGGTCCTGATCAAGGGGTCTATGGTTCAGGAGGCAAGGTACAACCTTTATCTGAGCCTTGCAGCCTTTGCGGACACATGACGAACAAACAGAGGCTCTAACAGAGGACCTAATTTCAGTCCCGAATGCCCTTGGCCTGCTCGTTGGCTGTTTCGCGAGATTCACAGAAGCACGAGCGAAAGTGCAAAACAAGAGTAGAAGCTGTGTAAGAAGCAGACAAAGCTTTCATTCAGCCCGGATTACGAAAAACCTGATCTGACCAAGTAGCCGGGACCCGATTGAGAGTTCATTTCCGCTGCAGCTAGCTGGCGAGAAACTACACATCCCTGTCAATGCCCTCCTCGATGGAGGACGCGCCGAAGGTGCCACACTTGAAGCCCTTCGGCTGCTCAGTCTCTGCCTTGCGGCTCATGGTTTATAAGCAGCCTTGTCGCAGCGTCGTTTAAGAAACACACAGGTGCACACACACACACACACAGGACAAGAGAGATTGAAAGAGACTGAGAGAGTTGCTGCATCTGTGTCCATACTCTGCAGTTCAGGGTGAACTGAGTAATTCTCAACTCAACTTGATCGTTGCCACATTGACATGCCTTTTCTCGTCATGCGAACGGAGATAGACAGCTGGAAAGACAGATAGATTCATAAAGACAGATAGGTGGGCGAGTCCACAAATAAATGACGAAATGAAGGCAAAGCAACATGTCCACAAAAAGGTGGCTTGACAAAACAGCATGGAACTGCCACGGACATTGCGAGCAATAAGACTCAAGGATGTGCTGGTCTGCTGGTATGAAGCAGTAGATCTGCCACATCTGTAGGAAGGCTCAGTCGATGATGGCCCGTCTCGCGTCAACGCGTACCGGTACCCTGCCGACTGTGGAGGTCCCCAGACGCCCACGGAGGACAAGGAGGGGAGAAGGGAGATTTGGAGAAAACCCTGGCATGCACTTCGCTGCGAAGTGGTTCTTGCCGAAGACACCAGTAAACCCTGGGAGTGCGGCCAGCTTCTCGCTCTTGCCCTTGTTCCTGGCAAGTTGAAGCATTGCACTTGTCTGTAGGCTGCAGCCTAAGCCTCGGCCGGCAGATGATACTTGTACTGCCATTGCTACTATACACCTTCATCCCCTTACCTGTTTCATATCGGTTCAAGTCCGTCTGGGAATCGGTAAGCCGGTCCTATTAGAACTTTGTGTGACCATATAGGCATAAAAGGGTTGGTACCTGTCGACATCGTTACTGCTTCAGGTGCTAACATAAAAACACGTGCATCAATGAACATACACACGCAACCTCCAATTGCCGTTTCTGTATGCCACAGCGATCAAACCAAACGAAGCGATCGCGTGACGGAAGTCACCAAGATGGAGTAACATACCGTAATACCGGCGACTCGACGCAGTTTGACAACCTCGTTCGTTGCGGCTTGCTGGCTTCTCGGCTGCAGACTCTCAAGTCGAACATGTTTTGTGGTTGAACCTGACGATGCACGCAAACGGCATGCGACAGCTAAATCTGCCAAGTGCAGTGCTGCAACGAACCGTATGCCTTTACACAACATCTCAGTGACATCTGCAAGAACTCCGCTTGCAAAGCATGGCAGCGGCACAGCTGGCACACGCGAATGCAACCAGTCGCACGAGGGTACTGGCCAAGGACAACATAGCGGGCCTCGCTCAGGAGGCGTCGCTTCATAGTTACCGTCTTTGGCATACGTGAAAGAATGTATACATACATATATTTATATATAGAGTATGTATATGTAGATATGTATATGTATATATGTATATATGTGTATATGTGTATATGTGTATATGTGTATATGTGTATATGCGTATATGTGTGTATGTATATGTTATGTATATGTATATGTATATGTATATGTATATGTATATGTATACGTGCATGTGTATGTGTATGTGTATGTGTATGTGCATGTGCATGTGCATGTGCATGTGTATGTGTATATATGTGTATGTATGTATGTATGTATGTATGTATGTATGTACGTTTGTATGTATGTATGTAGGTATGTATGTATGTATGTATGTATGTACATTTGTATGCATGTATGTATGTATGTATGCACGAGTATATGAGAAAATATCAACATGTGTACACAAAAAATACAGAGAGAGATGTGAGGATATAGATAAACAACTCTGACGATCTGTGTATATATATATACATATATATGTATATATATATATATACAGGTCTGCATGGGTCTGCCGTTGTGTGTGTGTGCATGTTTGCAGACAACTCAACCCAATAATGCTCCAAGGTAACCCTCCATCTGCCAGGTTCACAAGAATCGAATACAAGCAGAGATCAACAACATGTTCATGGCAAAAGGGTGGCAATAGATTCAATAGGTCCAACTCCACGATGCTGTCATCCAGGGGAAGCTAGTTTCTGCTTTCCCTTCTTGCGACGAGCCCTTGTTCCATCCGCCATATCGCATTTGGTTTAGGGTATAGGGTTTCCGTGCAAGCTGTCTGTGATCAAAGCTGAGCTACCGGCGCTCTGGGGCACCCATCGAGTGTCAAAGGGCGTGAAGTTCAGCTGTTCCTTCAGGTGCCTGAGTAGACAAGGATGCTTCGTAGCCACTAGCTGGACAAGCCAGGACGCTTCAAAGCAAGATCACATTCGATGATTTACAAACCTTCATAGGCGACAGTACTGTGTCACATGAATCATATGTAAGAAAGGCAAACGGTCAATGAAGCTAGACAATAGAGACTTCTGTAGCAAAAACAAAGCTGCTTATTTGTTCATTACTGCGTGTTGTGCTACGAACTCAGTGCTGATTGAGGCCTCAGCTCAATGACTTGTGGCGCAGCTGTACAATCCATGCTGCCAGGGAGGCGAGGAAAGTGCTATCGAATTGTCAGTCTCTTGCACTGTCGGGTTCAGAGTCAGGGGCTGTGTGGCATCTTGCCGTACTGTGAGCCGTTGGAAAGACGATGAGGCGAGGCGCATCTGCAGAGGTGGTAAGCCAAGTTGTGGCACAGATGCTCATCCCTAAACTTTGCTCTTCTTCTGTGGGGCATACCTCGGTATGCTGTTGTGATTGAGTGACACAACTGCTGCCCCGGGGAATGCAAAAAGAACACGTGGGCTGCGGTCGTGGAATCCTCCTCTGGAAATGTCAGGCAGATGGGTCCGATGCACACTCTCTCAGCTGCTCGACAGGCCAAAGAAAGCTGTAAGTCTGTTCCGCGAGATCAGCTAGCTCTCTTCTCCTACTGAACACTGCGGTCGTACTTCTTCAGCGCGGACAGCCTCGGCAGCGCACTGGCTACTGGAGAAATCCTGTTCACACGCCTAGGCATTAACTGAGCGTGCGACTCTTCCAGGAGGTCATCCAGGTGGTGGTTGCCCTCCAGGGTGGGGATCAACTTCCTGCACTTCGGTGCAAGGCAAGTCTAGCGGTTCCATATAGCACTAGAAATGGTATAATCATGGGAACGGCGAAAACGGCAATATGGCGACAGATTTTCGCTGAAGGCATCAGCTGCAGAAGCAGACTACCAACAGGAATTGTGCGACACTGGGTATGATGAGATTTCCTGTGACTTGAGGTCTGAGATGTGCGTTCAAACTTCTCAAGAAACCTGCTGCGGTAATGTTGGATAATAACAGGGGCCATGCAACCCTTCAAGCACAGACGCCGCGTGTGTCCTTGCTTCGTCCGGAGTGGCAGGCATGAGGTTGAAAAGCTGTGTGGCCTCGAAGTCCCGGCAACGCCTTGGCAACTGGGGATCTTCAAACAGAATGTCGGAAGGCTAAAGATTATGAACAGATGTAGCTCCGTTGTGGCAAGCCACATGAAGTTGCAAAAGCAAGCATATAGGAGCAGATGGCGGCATAATGCCTGCTGAAGATGGCTATGATGTCGTTACAAACTCAGTTTCTACACGTAAGCATCTACACGCGTGCATGATAACTTTGGATCAGGCCTTCGTTCGTGCGTGGATTGTGAGATCAAGGTATGGGCTGCAGAATGATGTCCAGTTTTGATGTCCTCATCAACCCTCGCAAAACGAGCACGGCCAACAAAACCAGAACCTGGGAAATGCACACGAACTGCTCTTCGATGTGGGCTCCTTTAGGATGTCCATTTTGGAAGAGCTGATGAAAAGAAAGACCTATTCTATGCATTCTATGCATCCACAATGCAGAATCCTTACCAAAAAGGCCATCCCTAGAACGCCCGAATGTAGGGGCTTGAGTAGTTTGAGTAAGGTTCCGAGGTAAGGCTCTAAAAAGACAGCAATTCTTCAAATACTCCCCCAGAATACTATGCTAATGCAGAAGCTTTAATAAATAGAAGAGGGTTTTAGGGTATATTATGCTACAATTTTAGTAAGGAACCCCCAAAGGTATTGGTAATTGGTAATTACTTAAACGCCTATAGTACACAGAAACCTCCACGAGCTGGGAAGCGGCGGGTGCTCACAAAGAGACCGGGAGGACTCCTGGTACTATGCAAGCTACAGGCACTGGATGAGGCCAGGCTGTCAGAGTCCGCAGAGAGCTTCCCGTTAGGGTTTTGTAGGGTGCGGGCTTAGGGGTAGGGTGCCCGAACTCCGGAGGTGGGTGGTGACTGAGAGCAGAACTTGATGAGCTTGCGGCTGTTGCGTTGGAGATGCTGGCAGGACAGAAGCGATGCTTTCAATGATGTAGGCTTGAGGGCTTCGTCTCTTCCAGTATCAAGCTTAGCTAATCACCCTTCAGGCCTGCATAATGATGCGTCCATGGCAGAAACAAAACCTCTCTTCATGTTACAATCGAACTTCGACCTCGACTGCCTTGGTGCTTAGGCATCAAAAGTTCATGTCAGGCATGAGTCTGGATCCAGAGATCCTCACAACTTACCGTCTAATCTAGAGATCAGCTTCCTGCTGCTCACTATAGCATGGTACTATAGCTGGCATCGTTCCAATCTGCTCCTTTGCTTTTGCTTACCCCTTCCCGGTCTGGCACCAATCCGGTCATCTGCTTCTTGACTTTGTCTGCTTGAGACTCATTCCTTGGGCGACACAGCTCGGGCTTTGCAGGCTAGTGCTGCCGCTGCTCCCCTTTTGCGACCTGAAGTACTCTGCTACTTCGACCGAGTCGCAGTATTGAACTCAGTATTCTTTGTTGTCACCAGTGGTACACTCGTAGCGGCAGCAGGAGAAAGTAGCAGCAGGAGGTAGGCGACGACGACGAGACGACCAGGAGACGACAACGACGAGGACGATGCCGACGAGACGACGAGGAGACGACGACGACGACGACGACTGCTACCAACTGCTATTCCACGACCCGAACAATGATAGGCATGCAGTCTATCTTTTTTGCTAGAACCAGCCCAGTTGCGAGCACTTTTCATTCAATCCTCGCACTAACAGAAACAAGTAAGTCTCCGACGTGAGTGGCTTGAAGCGTTTGCAGTATTCCATGACCTTCTTGGCCTCTTCCTCATGAGCGGCGGGAGTATTGCATCTCTGTCCAGTCCTATGCCGTCTCAGCTCATGAGATTCTTGAAAACGTGTCAACAATGCTGGCAAACCAGGAAGATAGAAACCTCTCCGAAGCCTACTGGGGGCCCCGCTGTTAGCGGCCGCTTTTCTCTCGTGCGCCTGGGAGCGCTCGCTGCTCTTCTAAGTCATCCCATCTTGGTGTGCATAGCACGAAGCAGACTGCGGGCTTTCCGAAAATGCGACACTGTATCTGCATTTAAAGGCCTGTTCCAAGCCAACGCAAAAGCTTCGGTGATGCCACATTCCGAAAGGCGAGTAATGAGGAGGCAGGAGGCATGTCCAGATTGCGGCCCGCGGTTCTGCGGATCCCATGCCGATAGCCAGGTGGAAGATTGAATGCCCAAGGAAAGAAAGGCTGCGGTAGCCAACACGTGCTCCCTGGCATAAGACTTCAAGTGATCTGCTGGCAGAGGCCTCAACCTCCTGAGGCCTGGAGGGCAGTAAGTCTCTGTGGCACTACCGGTCATGCCAAATCCTCTCCAGCGGGTCGCACATCATAGCATTGATTGCGGCAATGGTGGAATCGTCCATCTGCTCACCTCTGTATCTTGCCGACAGTCCTGGCCTGCTCTGGTCACGTATCTCCGGGTCTACAGCCGCAGCCACGTGGAGTGCAGATGGCTTCTCAATAGAGTCATGACTACTTCGATGCCTGGACCAGGCACCACCAGCCAGGCCCATCGATTTCTCTTGCTCCTGTGAGTGGCCAGTGGAGAGAAGCAGACCGCGAGTGGCTACCAGTAGCCGTCGCAGGCCATCCATGCACGAAGCTTCAGTGGGGCGCGGAGCTTTCATTGCGTCGCAGGCATATATGCACAAACAAAGTCGATCTTGCAACGAGCAATCTTGATGACAACGGAAGTGTCGTAGCAAGAAGTGCTGAGGTAGTAATAAGTTGGTAGCAATAACGACAACAATAATAATCGGGATTCTAACAATATAAAACTATAATATAGATGGTAGTGGTAGTAGAACTATTAAAAAAGATAAGAATAATAATGAAGGAGTAGTGCCTCGGAGTTTGAGCGCTGCAGAGCACCAATGAACATGGTCTACAGCCTGAGTTACTGTTTCAGACGTATCCGCGGCTCTTCCTTGAGCTCTTCGGGCACCTAGATGGTCAAGTACGGGGTTCCCCGACGTCCCCTTAATGCTTTGAACCAGCGAACCCTCAAATGAAAGGGGCAAAAGAGTACCACTGGGGAACTTCGAACTTCGTTTACAAACAAGTCTCTACCAGAACACCCTCCCACCTCACGGCTGCGCCGAGCGAGGGAGGTCTGAGGGCTCCACTGGGCTTGCAGTTGTTGAAGCTGCATTTCCAAGTGCCCCAGATGGATGCCTTCCCTTTTCCTCTCCGAGTCGGAGGGAGGCTTCGGGGTGTCCGGGCAAGTACCTTGCCACCCTTGTTTCCGGGTCAGGGTTTCCCTCAGGCATGTGAAGCCTTACTTCGACCTCTAACTCGAACATGCGACACCTTGACAACAAGCCCTCAACCCTAAGAAATCTCACGAAACCCTCAGAAACCCCCTACGTAGCCTTGCTTGGAGGTCGCAGTCCTCCAGGGGCCCAGCATAATGTGCCCCTCCTTATCCACACGCGCCGCATCAAGATCGGCCTCCCCGCTCATGACCTGTAGGTTTGAGGAGTTTAGGGTTCAGGAAGTTGGATCCGTTTCTCTGGTGGGGCTGCAGGGTTGCAGAAAGTAGGATTTGGGGGGTTTTGGTTGAAAGCAGGGCTTAAGCTTTGAGTTTTGGGGCTTCGGATCTTAAGCTTCGAGGTGCAAGAAAGTCCAAACCTGAAGTGCAGATGCTGACCGAACCTGGTTGTCAACATGAACCATTATTACTGCTGTCATCCGTCCTAGTCCTAGTAGCAGTCCTAGTAGTAGCAGTAGTAGCAGTAG